AAGACGGCTTTCTTAATGCTTTGGCTGAGAATCACTCTTCGAAGGCTGAGCAGCAGGGCAAAGATAGTGAGATCAACATGTGGATCCAAAAGTGCTGGAATGAAGGCAGCTGTGTGCCAAATTCGTTAAGCCCCCTAAAACCAACATGATTGTTGTCTTTTGACATAGCACGTAAAACAGCTCCAAAATACAAGAACAAAATAAACACAAGCGACAGGACGAAAGTTCTAGTGTATCACTTTAATCCTGTCGCTTAGTCCTTTTTTTTTTTGGGGGGGATTTGGTTTTTGAAGTTGTTATACCTACCATGTCAAACTACTACCGTCTCGTGAATCTCTCGACCTAATTTGTCAGAATATCTCGAAACTGTCCACACTAATAGCATGTTGTAGTCAGTAGGCCTGTTTGTGTATAAATGTTTTTATTTATTTGTAAGGGTTGGTTTTGGTAACAATATTTTGTTTCATAGTTCATAGTACAGCAGAGTTAACAGGTTTTTTTTTAAATTACCTTGTTATCATGTCTTCAGAGTTGTACTGTGTGTGTACCCCGGAATTCCCATGCTGGAGGCATCGCCAGATGGCCTAGTTTGTGATGAAGACGTCCAAGAGCATGGACTGGCTAAGGTCAAGACTGTGTCCCGGGCCATTGTTGCAGCTCTGCTAACCTTCGAGCAGGTGATGGCCAGGGGGTTTGTGGACTTCATCAAAAAAGACAAGACTGTGGACACTAATCATAAGCACTACCACCAGATGACCGGGCAGCTTGCCTTCACGGGCCTGGGATGGTGCGACCTTGTCGTTGACTGGGAAAACGACTGTTGAATTACTCGGGTGCCTTTTGATGAGAAACTGTGGGCTGATGTAATGGTGCCACGGCTGACAGATTTTTTCTTCAAGTAAAGAAAACCCCTCCCCTCCCCTCCCAAAGTGCATATGGGCCTGCTCTGTAGCTATTAATTGTGACACATGAAAGCAATCTAGAAGGTCAAACCTGGAAAAGTTTGGCAAGGTTTTATTTGTAAAACATCTCAAATATAAATACATCTGCAAGACTGCAGCACTCCTATTCATAAAGCTACCTCAAGATCACTGAGGTCAGTTAGCCCATCAACGTACACAATCAAGGGTTCTAGCTACGGCTCAAAAGTGGCTCCCGTGAAAAGTTCCAGAGCAACGCCATATCTCTCAAATTGAGTCCAAACTCTGGCTCATGCTGTTGGGGAAAGTTCTTCTCAGGATGTGAAATGACTTAATTGTCTTATCCACTCCACGTGAATGTGGACCTTGGCAATGGCTCTCGTTTTAGCTTCCATCCTCCAGGGAAAGCTGCAGTTTTCCTCCAAGGAAGAGTGGGATGTTGAGGGGGGCCCCGACAGCTTCTACTTCTTCAGTGGTCAGAAACCCCCTGTCTGCCATGACAGTTACCGGTCTTGAGGAGGGCATACAGTCCAGAATTTACTGTCAAGCCTTTGTGCGTCACCCGGCCAGGTATAAGGCGCTCACAAAGGACACAAACCCATTAGGGGTGATGCTCAGCAAGCTTTGTTTAACCCTCGATGTATTGGCCACACCGCAAACCAAAAAAACCTATCAGAGAATAGCAGGCCACTGGGCATTTTACTTCAGTCTTTATAGATTACATTACCACGTACAAAAACCTATGTTCACGGCGGCAATCACGGGCCAGGCGGTCGACCCCAGGTGGACTACCCTATTCCTCAGGATCTGGCAGGAGCTGCCACACGTCATGCCCTGGGCGACTTCGGAACCTTTGAGGACAGCAGCAGCAGACGCCAGCAACGCAGGTCTCGTAATATGCTTAAAACAAGGAAACATCGCTTTTGTGGTCCCACACCCCCAAGGGATCTACCTCCGAGAACTTACCGCAGTGTGCCTGGCTGCGCTTGTGGGGCCACTCGACACCGTCATTTTTAACGACAACGAAGCATTAGTACAAGCTTTACGTTTTGGACATGGCCGCGCCTTCCAACCTATGTATTCCCTTGCACTCACTTTGCTTTCAATAAAAAAGTGGCTCTGGTACCATTGGCTACCAACTGACCTGAACCCTGCGGACGCCCCTTCCCAAATTACGACCCCACACATTCCCGTGGTCCGGTAGGGGGCGCCCCAGTCGGCCTTCCAAGGGTATAAAAGCCCACACAGGTCGAAGGGGCCTCAGTCAGTTTCGGTCCCACGAGTCCCAGCAGACCGAAACAGGGTTTCAAGCGGCTATGTTGAATAACGTTTCTGAAATATGATCCTTCGACCCAGAAGTGGTCACGGAATTTTATCAATGGTCAGAGAAAAACCTAGAAAAGTCGGGGAATTTGAACCCAGTAATTTGGTAGACACCCTGATCATGCACTGGTTCCCCCGTGTGAAACACTCCATAACCAAGTGAGAATTGAGGAAAGCGAACACATAGGCAACAACGCATGTCTTCACTCTGCTGCATGGCCCTTCCATCTACGACACAGTTGGCACTTAACATGTCCTCGACCTTTTTATTATGCACGCCTACAACTTAGTCTGACTTCCGGAACTTATTTCATTGACTTTTTTTTTTCTCCCAGGACCCAGACAAGACATTCGCAGGGGTGGTCCAGCTGCGCCAATTGCGCCATTTTGATAAATTGTCCTTTACCTGCGCCTTGCTGCGCCTAAAGACACAAATTGCGCCAAACCGCACCAAACTGCGCCAAAAAGGGCTAGTCGGTCCGTGAACGAATCCTTTTTTGGAAGAATGGCGTTTTCGGCTGGCAACCCAGTGGGAGTTTTATTTTCTAGGCTAGATGGCGCAAGCTGCCGCCCGATATAAAGGGTAGAGCCGTTACCATAGCCATCACAATCCAATTCAGGTTTCCGGCCCAGTGGCATTATTGTTTTGTTGCGACCGTTTTGATATGCGGCGTTGTGGCTGTTCATTTCTGCATCACCACTACTAAGTCCTCTTGAAGATGAGCCAACGTGAGTACTTTTTTTTTCTGCATGCGCGTTTTAAGTTACAGACCCCATAGTAGAAATTTGCTCGGACTTAGTAGTTTTAGTTTTCATCTGTGATATTTTGTTACATAGTTAAGCTTTAGCTGCAAGAATGTTCTGTCATAAATAAAATGGTTTTCTTATGGTGAGTTCTTTTCTTTGTAAATTACTATATGAAATTCAGATGTTCGTGACACACACAGACATATATATATACATATGGGGGGTGAGGTAAGATTGACAAGGGCAGCCGTAATATATATATATAATAATAAAGACATGGCACAGAACTGCTCTATGTTCATGCTGCTCCAAAATGTTTAGTTTTCCTGATACCAAGGTGCTCCAAAACGAGCTTTTCCCTGCTGCAAAAGGGGAGTTTATGTGATACGAATTGCTCCAAAATTGGGTTTTTCTTGCTCCAAAAATTGCTCCAAAACCTAAAATGGCTGGACCACCACTGCATTCAGGAACCTGACGTTACTTTTCACTGGAAAGGACCCATGGACATCTGGCAGCATGTGTATTGCCTGCGAAGACCTACGAATCGACATCCTGGACTTTCAGCAGGAATCTCTCTGGTATTTGCCATGTACTGGGAGTACACCATTCAGTATGTGGCATCAGCCAAGCACACACTTTCTGCGCTTGAGCACCTCAGGGGTATTAAGAAAGAAAGCTTTCGGTAAGAGCTGTGAAAGTTGTGACAGCACTCGGAGTACATCCCTAGAAGAGGGCAAAAAATTATCAATAACAGTTACTATTTTTATGTTTTCCATTCCTATTTGGCTAATATTCCAGCTATAATACAAAGATTTGTGTGTTCCAATATGTATCCTAAATTCTTCTGCTAGATCTTTTTTTTTTTTTTTTGCATTATTGATCTGAGGATTTAATCCACAAAAGAAAAAAACTGAAAAATAAAGCTTTGACAAAACAGCAAGCAGGCAAAAGAAGCCTTTAAGGAACTTATTGCAGTTTATTTTCAATCAAGTTTAACCTCGCAACACCAAGCAAGCAAAGGAAACCTTCACAAAACTTATCATTTATTTTCATTATTTTCTAATAATTAACCTGCATTGTGTATTTGTATTATTTCTTAAGCTATATTTAGTTATTGTGATATAACACCTGTGATAAGTCTAAGTAGGCTTTTAAGTCAATATGTATCACATTCGTTTTTATAAAATAATTGTTTTGAAATACTCGTGTTTCGTTTTGCAGTACCTGTATGCTAGGACAAATAACAGTGATATGAGCTGAGACGAAACAGCTCTCTTTGTTACTAAATTTAAAGTTGCCTGCAATTTATTGCCACCCACATGTGTACTCAAAGCAGGCATGAAGCAGCAGAACATTCTGCTTCACACGAGCTCTTGTCAATAGTCTAGACAAGAGGGAAAACAATATAACCTACGATAAATGATAAGTGGAATCAAATTAGTAGAAAGTTAGGCCTCATTCACACAGCCGTTTTTTTTTTCCGTCCCGACACCGTCCCGGCACCGGCGTGGAAAGACGCCGGGACGGAGGCTGCGCGAGAGAGTGTTCGGACAGAGAAAAACGGCATCGGCGCCGGAAAAGTTGGATTGGATTGGATTGTGACAACTGGTCAGTAATTGCGCAGAGCTCAAACTATTTTATTCCTTTAGATAATTAAAACGTTTGAAACAATATAATACATGGCTATATGTTTTTCTGAAACGACAAATTGAGCAGTTATTTGCTCCTCAACTGTACTGTAAATCTTGGTATTTTGTATTTTAAAGAGTTTAGGTACATTTCATGGAAGATGTCTGGCAACAAGTCACATTTGTTTATGTTTACAAGTGTTTTTCAGCTGTTCGCGCGCGCGCGCGAAAACCCGCAAACGAGGAACAATGGCGAGCCACTCGAACCAAGGGTCGTCTTTTGTTTTTCTGAGCACGCTGCTTTTAATGTTTCTATTGCGCAAGCGAAACTCGGGGCGCAGAAGGATAGCTCGGCGACCAAGGAGCGTCTGGATGCGGAAGATGTGTCGGCATCGCAACTCCGGCCATTCGGCAATTCTCCTTCCGCTGCTGCGGGAATCGGACACACAATATTTCTACGAGTAAGTGCAAGGTCTCGGGTTCGGTCGCACGGGTCCCAGCACATATCACCTGACTGTCATGCTTCTTGCAGCTACATGAGGATGCTTCCAGCCACATTTGACAAGCTCCTCTCCTTGGTGGAAAACTCAATCCGAAGACGGGACACGAACTGGAGAGAATGTATCCCGGCAAGGACGCGACTGGAAATCACACTAAGGTAGGAATGTGCTGTTAGTTGTAGAGATGTTTGATCGAAACGCAGTTTCCAATAAACACCTGTCGCAGTTGTGTCGACACGGTGGTACCCCACTCAAGCAAACTATAAATTCCCAAATTTATTTTTTGGTTAGCTTTTTACAATTTAATTAAAGTTTAACCATTCACAAAGTAGTCAGCCAGAGATACAGCGCAGTTGTCACACCACTTTTTACATCAAAACATTTCTTCCACAGTGATAGGCTTCAATGCTTCGTTCATTTTCTTATTTTCTTTCAGCTGCTAACCTGAAAGTCTTTCAAAGCATTTTGCAGATTCTGCTGCCGGTTTCCCATGAGGGAAAGGGAGCTTTATGTACACAGACTGCTCTTTTATGTCTGCCATTACAAAATCAACAGAAATGGTGATAGGGGCTCATGAAAAACGATGCACTGACGTAACAACAATGCCACTGGACACCAGCTGATGCAGAATTTATAAGCTTCCAGAGGGGAAGCTTATAAAACTTTAGTTCCCCCGCCCCCAAATGCCTGGCCGCACCACTGGACAGAATTGAGGTCTCTCTTGCATCTATAAAAAGTTCTCATTATTTGTGGGTACTATTTACGGTCACCTACCTTGCGAGAATCTTATCGCATAAAATGAATGCAGTTCTGTTCACCATGGTAATCGCTGATCATGTTTGCTTTTTCTTCAGCTAGGTACATGACTTCATATAGGATTCCGTTGCAGATTTCTTGCCAGTGGTGACAGCCAGCGGAGTCTGTCTTACGCTTTTCAAGTTGCAAGGTCTACTGTGTCCGAGGTGATTGCTGAAACTTCACAGGCAATATGGGACAATCTGAAGGACGACTATGTGAGATGTCCCCGAACTCCTGAAGAGTGGATGAACATAGCTAGAGGGTTTCTGCAGCGCTGGAACGTTCCAAACTGCATCGGTAAGTGGTGTTCCAGAACACATGCGTCATTTACATGGTGTGCATGCTTCAAGTACAAATGTGGCCGGTACTCTGGCATTGTGGTCCACTACTTTCGAGTCTATTAAACTTTATGCCCTGCCACTTCCACTATTTGTTACCATTTTGCCATGAATTATGTTTTCGACATCCTATGAGTTGCAGTGTCCAAAGTATGGCAATTGGATGGCATGTCTTCGCTGCACGTCAACCAAGGTATGTTGCATGAGCATGCGAGTGAGGAAGGAACCAAGAGATGCATGCCAGGTATCAGGTAAGGTGATTTCAAGAAAGAAGTACCATGTGTACAGATGCACAGAGGATTACAGCATGAGCACGTAATGTGGGCGTGTATTTCATGGGAATAAACCTACTGTCTACTTCGCCTACATCAGCCTCACTTTATTGTTTGCCTTTCGGATATGAAGCTGAAGAGAAAATTCGTCCACTTTTCTGTTTGCAGGAAGCATCGACGGGAAGCACGTAACTGTCGAGGCCCCTTGCAACTCGGGCTCCGAGAATTTTAATTACAAAGGAGCATTTAGCAAGATCCTTCTTGCAATGTGCGATTCAGCATACAAGTTTTTGTATGTAGATGTTGGCCGCTGCGGTGGGGAGAGCGACGGGGGAGTGTTTCGAAGGTGTGACCTCTCTGGTGCTCTTGAGTCGCAACAGCTGGGAGTCCCTCAACCAGCTATGCTTCCAGGAGGCAACGTCACCCCATACGTGATCCTTGGGGACGAGGCTTTTCCCCTAAAGCCGTACCTCATGCGGCCCTATCCCAAGCGCTGTATAACATCGGATGCAGAAAGGATTTATAACTATAGGCTTTCTCGAGGAAGGCGTGTCATAGAGAATGCTTTTGGCATCCTTACAAGCAGGTGGCGCATCTTGAGGAGACGATTTAAAGCAACCGACGAAAATGTCAACAGATACGTTCTTGCATCTGTGGCCCTGCATAACTTTTTGATGACGATAAATGAAGAGAAAAACCGTTACTGTCCTTCTGCATTTGTAGATACCGAATCATGGAATGGAAATTTGATTCAGGGGGAGTGGCGCAAGGAAAAGGAAACCGTGCAAATTTTTTCTTCCATATCAAGGTTGGGGTCTAATAAACCAAGTAAACTATCTGAGCAAGTTCGCAAGAACTTTAAAGACTATTTTATGGGTCATGGGAGGGTGGAGTGGCAGTTAGACTATATTCACAGGAATGCTCCTCGGGTGAAGCCTACGACACCACAATAAAACATTTTAGGGGCAGGAAAAGCACAACTGCCTTTATATTGTAGCTATTTAGACTAGTTTATGAAGTATATTATATCGCAAACTCGTTTATGCAAGTATGTTATATCATAGACTCATTTATCCAAGTATTTTATGTCGTAGACTTGTTAACCCGAGCATTCCACATAATCCTTTCAAGTGTATAGATTTTGTTTTATTTTGGCATGTAGGGGTGACGTTGCCTTGTGTAAACTTTTTTTTTTCTTCACCTGCTCTTGTGATTTTTTTAAGCACACAGCAATCACAGTGATTGTCTTACTCATACTGCTAGGGCAGCAAATAGTATTCTCGTTTGTACCTGAAAACGTTAAATAGCAATTCATCTCAATCTACAATACCATATTCCATATACACAAACTCAGCTGTTACGTCACAGCGCATTGGGTACACTTCCGATCTGGCGCTGTGGGCGGTAGTCACTGTGCGGTATGTGCATACCTGTGTTGTTTTGGAAGATATCGATCAAAAACATGCCTCCCCGTCAAAACGCCGCAACTGGGGCTGTACCGAAAGAGTCGGGAAAGGTTTGAATGCCAGTTTTCATGTGTTTTCTGCCTGCCCAGTTCTCCAGGCGTCTCATCATCAGTTGGAACCTTTATTATTATTGTCTTCATATAATCTTCATAACATAATACCTCACCCCGCATGTGTTATGGTATCATGTTCTTCGTTGCTAGACCTTTTCATTACGAATCATGATATCTCAGAAATTACTAGCAAGGTTATCTGTCCCGATTTGAGTGACCATTTGCCTACGCCCATCTTGTCTGGGGATCTACTGATTTGACTAATTTAAACACACTTTGGGTTTTACAAAAGAAAGCTATTTGAGCCGTTGCGAATGTCTCTTAAATATCTCCATTGTAACCTCTTTTTGAACAATATTCTTAAACCTATGTATCAGATATTTACCCTGAGCGTTTAATGTTAACATACCAAGCTGCAACTCGTGGTAAGCATGAAGCATTCTTCAGATTGTCTGACCTTCGTCCATACATCTCATTGTACCATACCCGTCTCATTCATCCTTGGCAAATTCCTTAATCAAGCATTTACTTCCCGAATTGTTAAATCATATTGCATCAATGGGATTCGACATTAATTTACTAAATAAAAGGGACATACCCAACATTGTAGAAATGTGTGCATAATTTTTTTTGTCTTGTGTTTTGCAAAATTGCAGCACATCTAACATTGTATAAAAATTTGCATAGTTTACCTCGTATTATTTGTTATCCGATTTCTTGATTTTGGAGCCTTTGCTGTCTGCCTTGTAGAGGTGCTGTGGGCTGGTCAAGCTGTGCAAACGGATCTTTTCCTTGGACCGCAATAGCTGATGCGGGAAGCGCTTTGCGTTGAATTCACAGAGACTTATGGTCGTCACATTTATTTGTTTTGTTCCAACTTAAGCGCGGGAAGAACCGCCAAAATGCACGGACCACCTGCGAATTACGTTCAGTGCGTCTTCAAGTTCAAACAGCTGCCTGATCGTTTGAACTGTCGTCTCCTCTTTCAAACGCTTCTGCTTGTTGTCGTCCGCTCGTTCAAACGACAGCGGCCCGTAAACCAAGCATTGACGCGGTAATTGCGATAAGAAGTGCAAGCCTCAAGACTTAAGCTCGAAGATGGGTTGGGGTAAGTAGGCTCGGTGTGAACAGTAGATACAAGGAGATTCCGATCATTGATACCAGTGGCCATCAACGACTCACTTGGTCAGATTCCGCTTGCGATTTTCAGTATCAACTTCGACCACCTCAGCTACGGTCCACGCTTTTGCAGCCCGAGCAATGTTGCGATTGAAGAGTGCGAGCGGAATGTCATCATGGGAATCAGGCTTTAACGTCCATTCTGTGGCGCGCACGCGGAATGAATCGACGCATTTCATATTATTCACGCAACGTCTTGCGGTGTAACGCGCCTCATTAATTCCCCTGGGGCAGCTAAAGTAGTCGGACATTGGCAGGAAGACGTGGAATCAACAATTCTAATGCAAAAAAGGCCACGGGGAGTCCCCGTGGCCTTTTTTGCATTAGAATTGTTCATTTCACTCGGTGCGAGTCCCCGTCGGGGACTCGCACCGACGCCGACAACATTGCCTTCCAATGGTTTGTTTATGGACGACCGCGGGCTTCTTGACCACACTCCATTGTGCATGCGCGGCGCCAATGGCGTCCGCCAGGGGACCTCTGGTTTGTTTGTAAACATGAGTTGGTATTGCGTACGACTTGTGACCCGTGATTGGACCTGGCAACCTGCAGCCCTGGTCTATCGTGTCGTAGGGCAAGACGGAGTACAGCACTTGTAACATGTAATCAGCCCCTCTAACTCATTCTATGATAATACAAGTATAGAAAATGTGCACTGTTCAAAACTGAGAAATCTGAGACATCGTTCAATGATAAATACTTTTAATGACATTTAAGAGGATGAACCTTAGCACTTGCCGACCACAGAGCAGCAATAATAAATCAAGGAAGCAAGACCAATAAAATGCACACTATGCAATACCTGCACAAGGAAGCGCACAAAGAAAATATGGACATACATACATGCAGGCAACAGCACAATATTCACAGAGCAGTACATGGACATGAACAATGCACCTCCATGCAAACAACAAACATAGAAGGGTGGTGACACAAAATTGCCATGCAAGTTGAAAGCATGGTTGTCTATGGCAGTGGCTCTCAGATGGGGGGGTCTGCTAACCCTTCGGAGCCCCTGAAGGCCTTTTTGGGGTTCCCGAAGCCCTCGAACAGCAATAAAACTTTTTTTTTAGTCATTCTGGCTATCCGACAAAGCTAAATAGATCAAGCCATGTGTGCCAAGCGAGTAGGGTTGGTTATTCTCTGTTTCAGAGCTTCAGAGATTGTTTGCACACATTTAGTTTTCCTCATTTACCTGTTTGTCATTTTAATAGTTTGATATCCCCCCTCCCCCTTGATGGATAGGGTCCTCATCGCCTCGGCCGATTCAGCAGGGGTCTCAAGACTTGGCTAAGCATGCCTCAGTGAATCACGTGTTAACTTTTAGCAGCTTCCAAATTTTATTGCACACTTAGTAAAAATAATCCTACACAAGAACCTTTTATGCAATAGGTTGTCAAAGCTGTGGCATTGCTCTAGGGTACTCTAGGGTATATATTTGGACTAGATTATATTGCAGGGTCCTTCATGCTGTAGACAAATGAAGCTATAAACATGTAAGCACATCACATTTGTCAAAAGTAATGCTATACACACAACGTGCACCGTGACTGGGAATGGATATACGCATGACAAAGGGAGGGCCCAAGACTTGGGTAAACATGCCTCAGTGAATCACATGCTAACTTTTAGCAACTTCGAAATTTGATTACACCCTTGTAAAAAAATAAAACACAAATGATGATGCTGTGGCATAGCTTTGTGGTAATATGCCTGCTTCACAGGCAGCAGACCAAGGATAAAATCCTGAGGGCTCTGAGTATTTGTTTAAAGTATTTGGTGATATTGAGGATGTACACCCTATGCTATCGACAATATTTATTTGTCAACAAAATCGCAGGATGATACAAAGCCGAAATTCATCCCTAAATAAACAAAATGGTGTGAGCTCTCTGCACAGTGCACATCAGCATTTCCAGTCAAGGTGCACGTCGTGCATATTGCATCACTCCATTATCAAATTGCACAAGTCCACAAAATATTCTTCCGACTAGTATATGAATTGCACTTTTTGTGCCGTAGCTTAAATGAAGTTTCCGTGTAAATAT